TCCCTCCCTCCTTCCCTCCCTCTCTTTCCGTGAACCCCAACTAGTGGAACGTCTTTACAGGGTTACCTTGGAAGGGACTCCCTCCACTCTACTTTGCAGCTTCCTACGACTACCGTCTTCACCCGAATAGAATGCCCGGTCATTATAGCTGCATTTGGCCCAATTTTCAGTCCAGATGCAGCGATAATGACCGGGCGTTCTATTCGGGTGAAGACGGTAGTGGAACTAATCATGCCCCTAACTCTTCCTACGGTCTACAATTTTCACACTACGGTGTGCATCCCTCTTTCTCCAATGTGATTGCCTAACTGTCCTATGTCTCATTATGATGGTCGGTGGTTTACTTGCTTTGCTGCCAGTTTCGTCTACATCGTCTTGCCCATTGATAACTCCCCGGGGACTGGACATTAGGTGTGACATTTGTGAGGTACGATATTTGCTGACCAAGTCCTTTTCAACAGAAAACCAAATTTTGTTGTTGTTTTAACTTGTTTACCGTTTTGCACTTTGTGGTTTCTCTTTGTGGTTACTCTTTGTGTTTCATGTCTGAAACAGGGATGCAGTATTTCATGTGCTGATCACGAGCTACCAGTTGCTTGTCTCAGATGAGAAGTACTTTCGAAGGGTCAAATGGCAGTATATGGTCCTCGATGAGGCCCAGGCTATCAAAAGTGCAAGCAGGTAGGCAGGTCATTCCGTCAACCTGAGGGAACTCCTCAGGTGTTTTGTGCCATCAAAGTTTATGCAGAGTGGAAATGGAGGTGGGGAGGGACAACACCTATGCCCAGTTCTCGAAAGTGCTGGTATGTTGTCTTTTCTACGGGAGGGGGCCGAGGTCACGCACGTGCACGGGGCACACACCCACTTCTTGTGGTGGTGGTGGTGGTGGGGGGGCACACATACACACACACACACACACACACACAGAGAGAGAGAGAGAGAGAGAGAGAGAGAGAGAGAGAGAGAGAGAGAGAGAGAGAGAGAGAGAGAGAGAGAGGGTCAAGGGATTTCCCCAGGTGTTTGGTCCCATCACAGTGTATCCAAAGGGGAAATGGAGCTGGTGTCGGGACACCATCTATTATGCCTGGTCTGAGAAGTTCTGGTGTGTGTCCTTTGTTTGGGTCGGGCCTGAGGTTTGTGGGTTCGGGAATGTTAGGAGTGTCCTTTGTGAGTGCTGCTTTGCTGACCACTCACCTCTTGCAGTATGACGGAGCCCTACAGGGATGGTGCATTGTTCGTTTGGATAGGCTTGTCGGTAATCCGTGGCAGTGCCTGATGCTCCTCGTATGATGCAGATGGGGCTTACTCTGCAGGTGGGACACTGATGTGGTACCACCCTGTTGATTAGGTCCATTTGGGACATGGCAGAAAGTCCCATTGGAATGGAACTGAAAACCCAAGTTCTGGAAAGCAGTATAGGATTCCGAGAGAATTTCCGACAAGATTTTGGTGGGGTGTCTTTTGCTCAAAGTTTTCAAAAATTAACTCCGGGGAACCTGTAGGTGGAGAATTTTTTCTACTCTGTCGTCTTGCAAAAGTTGAGAAGCTTCTGGAAAGAAGTACCCTTGAAGAGAAAATTCTTGAAATTGTCTGTGCACCGGTTTAGTGGTGGAAACGATGATCGGCTGTTAGGATTTGAAAAAAAATCAGTGGATGGCTGTTTTCTGACTGGTCGGCAGACCGCCGATCAGTCGGCCCTATTGCTCGGCTGCAAAACGGTCGGGGTCGGCAGTCGGCAGCTATGCAACCCTGCTCCCTTCTCTTTTTTCTCCCCCCTCTTCCATTCACCAGCACCTCTAGAATCAAGTGTCGGCCCTCGGCCTTTCAATGCGTGCTATGTGGGGACTTGGTGAGCTTCTCCATGTTGAATGTGTGAACGATTTTACTTCGGCAATCTGATGAATGTCTGTTGTGTCTGTCATTGACATGGATGTTGGTGTGATGGGCAGCCAGCGTTGGAAGACATTACTGAGCTTCAACTGCAGAAATCGCCTTCTGCTGACAGGAACGCCGATACAGAACAGCATGGCAGAGCTGTGGGCACTCCTCCACTTCATCATGCCGACACTTTTCGACAGTCATGAGCAGTTTACGGAGTGGTTCGCCAAGGGGTAAGCTTATCGCAGCCATGATTACATTGGTTTGTCGTTTCATGATCTCATCCATTTTGCGCGTCTAACACTTGTGTCCGTTTCATGTAATAATGAAGCTGAGCGGACATCAATGCACGATAATCTGATCCAGGAACAGGGTGGCTGTGTGCCGTGGTGCTGTATAGCAGTGCCGACCTATCCATCAAGAGACTTCATCGAGGCTTCATCGAAGCTAACCTGGGGCGGACTCGCAACACTGTTTTTTGTTGTTCTTTACTTCTGTTCTTTATTAGAAAGACAAGGCTTCTAGTTTCTAAACCTATTTTAACCACTGGAGTTTATCAAGATTCGAACTCATGATCTGTTTGTTTTGACAGTTGGATGTCTGTACCACTCAGCGTAATGGACTGGGTGGCTCGGAACGACCTTCACGGTGGTCAGGCTGTTATTTGCTCAAAGGGGAGTCCTTGAATGAGGTGAAATGTGCGAACGTAGGCAAAGCCGTTCTCATAGCCTCCTGATGAGTCGGTGAAACTCCGACCAAAACGTTTGCCACAGCCCCTCGTTTGTTGTCCTCTTCTCCCTCTCTGCCTACGGTTTACCGGGCATCTCTGTTTGACTATATATATAAGTTTTTTTCGAGTCGCTGAACTTGAAATGGAAGGTTCATGAAGTCAATGCCAGTCTTGTTGGCCTGCAGTGTGGCAGGCATGTGATGCGTTTTCGCAAGTTTAGATTCCGTGCAAGAGATGCGAGGATCAAATCCCATTGAATGAACTCCTATGATTGATAATGATTCTATCGCGTTCTGTGTGAATCACATTTGGTGTGAATGATCCTCAGATCGATGGCGTTGTTCATGCTCTTTTGATCCAGTGCGAATGGTGGACCACTTGTGGCTTATTCAGAACTCTCAATTTCAACTCTGTGACCGTTGCTCTCTTTGTGTTGCTTTTCTGTCATCCATTCTTGGCGTCATTGCAGAATCGAGAGCCATGCAGAAGGCGCTGGGACTCTCAACGAGCACCAACTCAGCCGTCTGGTAGGGTTGCACTCCTGCCCACCCCAATTGCTATACCTTAAATGTGAACCGTAAGCTGTAAAAGCGTTCGACTTGCACTGACTGTTTACAATGATTGCCCAGCTCGGTATGACATCCGACCCATTTTCGGCGAGACAAAGCGACGACCAGATCATCGACACTTGGTTATGACTTTCACAGCACGTGCCCGAATCGAACTCCTAAAACCTTAAACCACGAGCACCTTGCCCAGGCAAACTGGAAAATAGAAAGAGCGTCAATCTGATTCTTGCTTCGGACGAACAGTGGTACGGGACCAAAATGGCTGGTGGTTCGTTATTCTTTTGGCGAGCGATGCAAGCCCACGTCGGGAAAAAAGAGGCTCGGAGGTAGTGGGGGTGTAACGGCTCTTGCACCGGGCCTCTTGCTTCCCAAGTTTCTCGCAGGTTGCATTTCTGTTTTCTCTTTTCCTCCTTTTGTTTTGTGCCCAACGGGCTTGTGCAGCTAGCATAAAGCAACCTGGCTTGGTACGAAGTCTGTTGCATGGGGCAGTCACTCTCTCTCTCTTCATCATATTTTGGTGTTGGATGTTCGCTTTAGTGAAAAGTACTGCTTTAGCAGCTGATGGATGCCAGGTCTTTTCTGATGCTTGCTTTGGGTTTGCATGTCATCCTACGAATCAGAATCATTGAATGCATGCGAGGAAGCAGTGACAGTAGTTGGTTTTGAGTCTGTGAATTAGGCAAGGACTTGTCTGAAAAGAGGACTGGGGGGAGATTGCCAGATAACACGTTGTGACTTTGGGAGAACTGCATCCTTGTGTCAGTGTTTCTTGGAGGAGGGGGGAAGGGGGGAGGGGGCAGGGAGGGAGGACACCTGGGGCAGAGCAGAAAAGTGCTCAAACGGGATTATGCTCAGTGCTTTTCATTTGACAATCTTCATGCGCAAAGAAAAGAAAACAGTCACCTACACACACACACACACACACACACACACACACACACACACACACACACAGAGAGAGAGAGAGAGAGAGAGAGAGAGAGAGATGCGATTCACAAGATTAGCAAGGATATCAAGGGTTACGAACTGTTGCAGGTATTGCACTCTTGGCATTCGTGTGCTGTGTATTACTGACCGAGTCAGTGGTGTTGTGGTGTATGTTGTTCCCGTCCAGATCAAATAGATTGATAATGGAAGGGCTTGGGGGTGGTTGCTGGGGTGTGATTTGTTTGCTTTGGCTCCTCGGTGTTCGTGCCTATGTTTGACTGATGACTATACAGCATTCCATCTTGAAACCATTCATGCTTCGGCGAGTGAAGAGGGATGTTGAGGCAGAGATGACCAACAAGAAGGAGATTGTCGTGCCATGCCGACTCACTGCACGGCAGCAAGTGTTTTATTCAGCTATCAAGAATAAGATATCGATAGCAGATCTCTTTGACAGTTCAGGCACACAGATTAACGAAAGGAATGTCCTGCAGCTCATGAACATTGTTATTCAGCTACGAAAGGTAGGTGTTCTCCCCACACCTCGGACGAGGGAACTTTTTTCTGTGCTGGCACACCAGAAGCCCTTGAGCCCGTTACCAAGGTTGATGATGTAGGCGCCCGTTAATCAACCACGGCATCTCGTTAAGCAACCACTGCATCCAAATGCATTTTGTAGAACCTCAGCTATATCTGGGGCTACTCGCTGAATCTCAGGTGCCCAATGGCAGAACATTTTTCTGCAGCCACTCTGGACTGCAACTGAGCCACTGATGCACTATGTCACAGTCTCCTCGTTCACAGCCACGAACCTGGAAGATGCCGTGGCCATCGGCTTTATGATTGCTGTTTAAGCTTTGTCATTGGGTGTGTTTGTGTTTGTTATCTGAAGTTAGAGAGGAGAGTTGATATAAAGAGAGGGGAGATTTGCTTTTTGTGACATTTTCTTCATGGCAGATTTTATCCCTTGAGCTTGCACTTGTTATGTTGAATCATTGTTTCATAATCACATCATGACACTGATGCTGTCTGATCGATTTTTATTCATGAGTGTGCCGAGGGCTGTGTTTGTGGATGTGTGTGTTGTTCTAGATTCTCACCACAACATTTTTTTTTTTGTGTGTGTGTGTGTGTGTGCGTGTGCGTGTGTGTGTGTGTGTGTGTGTGTGTGCGTGTG